CCACCTTAGGTGTATGTGGCTGGCGCCTTAGCCACTTGAGCCACAGGCGCTGAGCCCTCACATCCTCTCTTACTGCTGCTCCTCTGACTTTTTCAGCTGTGCTGTGTCATCTCTGTCCTGTTTCCTGTACTCTTTTGTCCCGTCTCACCCAGTGTGGCTGCAGGATCTCCTGAAGCGTCTCCCCATGGCTGCATCTTTCCTGAATCAGGTGTTTCACTGGTCACTGGTATCTGTGTGGGGGCACTTTTTGGGGGACTGTCCCTCCACTCTGCAAAGCCCCTTGTAGGAGTGGGAGAGAGCAGACTATAGCCCAGTCATGACCCTGAGAATGAGCCTGCTCCCTGGGAATGCGTCTCCCTGCTCTGCTGTGCTTGGTTTGGGATTGTAGTATCCTGTGACTCACCTGCTGACCCTGTGCTCTGTTGTGGGGGTGGCCTGGGCCAGCTGTCTAGTAACTTTAGTGCAGGCATCCTCAAACTATGGCCTGCAGGCCGCATGCGGCCCGCCTAGGACATTTATTTGGCCTGCGGGGTGTTTTTGCCGCTGCTGCCTGTCCTGCTGCCTGTCCTGCTTAGCAGCCGACTCATCCTGGGGCCCGCAGTCCAGCCCTCCAACGGTCTGAGGGACAGTGAACTGGCCCCCTGTTTAAAAAGTTTGAGGACCCCTGCTTTAGTGCCTGAGAGCCTTGGTGGGCTTGGGCCATGATGAGTTTTGCCCTGTTGGAGTCAGGCAGGGCTCAGGGGCAGATGGTGTCCATCCTTGATGGTCTGAGTGTCATGCGGTCCTTTGTGATCCCTGTGGGACCCTGTGTGTGCGCCCAGCTTGGTGCTTGTGGAAGGGTGCTCATCTTCTTGGTGAGGAAAAGAGAGTTCCTGCTCTTTCCTTGTGCTCTTCAGAGAGGCCTGAGGAAGTTACAAGAGAAGGAAGCTGGCTTGAAGGTTTGGCTGCTTCCGCATTACCAGGGCCACTGTCCTGGAGTCCGTGAAAGCACTCAGGGGCTGGGACTTTCTTCTAATATTTTTTTTTTTTTTTTTTTTT